TCTCTCTCTCTCACACACACACACACACACACACACACACAACACACACACACACACCCTCTCTCTCTCTCTCTCACACACACACACACACACACACACACACACACACAGGAGGAAAAAGCTATTTATTCAGTAATGGTTGTTTCCACTTTTCTATCAAAAGACTAAATTAAATAAGCTAAAGTGAATTTCATATAAAGGTGAACTAGAGAAAACAGCACAAAAATAACTTAATTGACACAATGACACAAACACACACATAAACGACTCAGCCTCTTACTTGCAAAATTACAATTCTGTCATTATTTGCTCATTTTCATGTAATTATACTGTTATTGCTTTACATCAGGGTTATCTTAACATTATTTATATACTTAGTAATATTTTGAATTGCATTATTTATTTTAAATCAATACATGCATTTTACCTTATTTATTGTATATATTATACTTTATTTTACATTTTTTATTATGGTAATTTTGGGCTGCTGTCATTTTGAGTCATTTTTAATTACATATTTATTACAAATATTATTATATATTATATATATAAAATATTGTAAATATTAAAACATTTATTCATATTTTTAATGACATTGTTAAAAACAATTTATATTGTTATAGTTTTAGTCATTTTAGTACTTTAACATATTTATTTATTTTTTAATCTCATTTTTGAATGTTTCCATTTTTTCGTGTAATATTTATAGTATTTCCTCTTTATTTCAGTTCCCAAAGACACATTTTATTCATTTGAGTAAAATTTGTTTTATTATTTTTATTAGATTAATTTTACTTATGACATGAAACAATCAATATCTTTATAAATAAATAAACCCAATATCTTTATAACATTTCAGACCTTCAGCGGAAGTGAAAATTGTCAGCGAATAGGCGAACGTCTAAATCTTTGTTTCTCACACTGAGCTTAGCTATATTATATATATATATATATAGCAGTATGTTTTGTGTATCTTAAAATCGCATAAAGATAGTACTGTAAACAACCATTATATCCATTATAGGATACAATATATTTCCTACAAATAATGGCAGAAATGTATTGAGGTTCTTCAAATAGATCAGTAAACAAGTCACTTAGTCTTAATACTCTAATCAAGCATGTATATATGGGTAAAGTACATATGTAAGTGAGGTGTGGTTTCACTGGACTGTTGGGCTGTTTGGTTTATTCTGGGCCAAACCCAGAGCAAATAATCGGCTAATGCTCCTATAACAATCCCAGGAGATTATAATAACAGCACATCTGAGCTCCAGTGCAGCTATTACCAAACTGCTGATCATGTTTTCACTGTATCACATTCAAACACTCCAGGAATATAAAGTCAATATGTAACTCTCCACAGTTTGCTTAAAGCTCTGGAAGCCTGCTTCTAATTATGGATCAATTTGCTTTACTAAAGTGTCCCTCTCACACACACACACACACACACAGATCCAGCGTGTGCTTTATTCATGGGGAAGCGACGTGTGCAGCCTCTCAAAGCAGAGCACACTCAGGGGAATGACTTCTGCATAAGATAAACACTTAAGCCAACATCTCCTGTGTGCTTTATTCATGGAGAAGCGACGTGTGCAGCCTCTCAAAGCAGAGCACACTCGAGGGAATGACTTCTGCATAAGATAAACACTTAAGCCAACATCTCCTTTAATGACCAGACAAGAGAACATTACCGGCCAGCCAGAAGAAATTATCTTTTGCCTCGCAGACCGTTTACTGAAACTCACTATTTATAGCCATCAATAGACTGTTCATCACTGAACATCATCAACGTCACAGTGACGGATAGAAGATCGGTTATCAGATGCATCAAAGTAAGCCGGGTGGACAGAAAGCTCTGCTGACCCATTCATACCATGTGATTTGAAATGTGTACTATGGTAGAACAATGACATTTGTTGAAAATTGTGTGAAAACGTCAAGAACATGTTTAGGTCATGTACTTAATTTCCCAAAATCAATGCAATTCATAAACCATTTTCATGACAATTAAACATTTTCTTTAAATGTGAGACTTTTTTGATCTTTTTTGGAGCTTGACATGTTTCTGTACAAAAACGTACAGTTGTTCCCTTAAAAGAGCTATTTTTACCTTAAAATGTTTCATAAAATCACTTTCATTTGTATAATAGAGGGTTAACCTTTACAAATCCCCGAACCCTCCACCCAGTGGAGTTTTATTTTATTATTCTTATTGGAGTTTTTTTTTAGAAGAAAACACTAATATTACAGTTTTTCTACATCAAAAATGCACGTTATAATGAAAGTGTTGCCGTTTCTTTGGTATTGTTTGGGAAATATAGCCTGCTAGCAAATGTGTGAGTGAAAATTGTTTCTTCACCATTTTTTTCCCCGTTTAGCCTATGCATCGCACATCATAATTACTGTAGCATAGGCTATTAAAGGTAGGCACATTACTTGTCAAACATAATAACGAATACCAATAATAATTTTTTTAATCTGCTCACCAACCTGCTGGACTTTTTTAAAACTCGCACCTGGATTCAGATTCTGCTGTTTTTCTGTACTGGGGAAAAAAAATATGATAATGGTTGTATGAGGCTCATGCATCTCCCATAACGCTTTCACTGAGAGTTTGATCGCCTTAATACAAAAGTCAAATCCTCATAAAACGCGGGTCAGCTGCGACATAAGATCTATTAAAGTAATTCAAACTATTCTCTGAATGACCGAACATCACCTAAAACATGTTTCTGAGAGAAATGAACTCGCCTCAGGTGGAGCAGGTGTTTGAGCGCGCGCGCAACGGACCACTTTTGGAGATCAATAAACCCCCACAAGATTGTCGTAGACGCTTTAAATCAGCCCCACTCACCCGAGGAGCGTTCAGCGTGAGCGTCATCCCTCAAACTGCTCATCTTCCTCACTAAATCCAAGACTTCGTTAATCCACCGCAAACAAACGGACTGAAACTCGGTGATCAGTGAGAGCAGAAAAGCGTAAAGCCTCAGTACTTTCTCTCGCGCCTCGTGTGCCGTTGTTTCCTGCAGCTGAGCGCAGAGCGCGCGCGGAGCAGCTCCGTGACGTCACCGCGGGCGGCGTGACATCATCTAAGTTTTTGCAGGTTAGGAGTCCAACTAGACCGGTCTAAACCAGCAAACCTGGTCTTAGCTTAAGCAAGCTGTTTTCTTGAGGCAGTGCAGATATCTGGGTCATATTTCACCCCAAAATCAATATAGAGAAAAAACAAGACATTACATATAACTGGAATGAAAACAAACAAACAAGGACAATTCAATTATTTTAAATTAAACAAAAATTATTTTAAGGACAATTAAGATTTTTGGACCATGAGTTCTATGACAATATTGTGATGCAAAACTAAACAGAGATATGTTTTGTAAAGTATTTATGAATTAAAATAGCAGGTAGTAGTGAGTTTAATTCAGGGTGACTTTTATGAATATTTTACAGTAAATGTGAATTTAATTAAAGTTGCCATTCAGAATAATGACAGAGAGAAAAAAAACAACTAAACAAAACATGCATTTTTTTTTTCATTCAGACATAAAGGTTTACAACTGTCAACTACCGCCAAAGCATTTCCTTTAATGGCAGTTTTTAAAATAAAATATCTCAGTACTTTATTATAAGAGCATGTATTTATGCCTTATCAGTAAAGAATGTCAAAAAGATGTCAGGGTTATTTCATAATATATTATACCATATATTTTTAAAAGTCTATATATATATATTTTTTTTTTCAGATCACTCTAAGGTAAATAAATAAATCATGTTTAATCAGTACTGGCTATGCTAATTTTAATTTAAAAACCTGGATAGGATGATTCTCACGGCAAAGGTAATACGAATTTAATGAGAACCATAATGGAGGATTTAAAAAGAAATAAATAAGTAAAACACACATTTCTCCATTCTGCCATAAAGGCTTTCTGCGATCTAGCCAGTTCTGAAAATAATATCATATAAATGCATTATCAATACTTGTATTTGTGCTTCTATGTTTGGCAATGGCATAAGAATGGTTCAAGCTGCCGTCTCTAGTCTAGCATCAGCTCTCAGGTTCAGATCAGGCTTTGTATGAAACGCTCAGGTATTGAGTATCTCAGCATATATAGAACCAGGATATATGATACTAAAGCCTGTCCAAACCACACACACACACACACACACACACACACACACATATATATATATGCATATCACACTTCGTCCCCAAAATCCCCTTGAACAGACTGTGAGCATCATGTAAATATATTCTTTACAGCTGTTTAACTGTCCCAGTTTCTACAGATTTATTCCAATTGTACATAAAAACAAACAAAACATATCTGTATACCGCAGAACAGCTCATGCAAATTATAATGACCTTTGACCCTCGGCTGCTTAACATGTTTGTCAACAGCTTTAGACATGAAAAAAATAGTATGCATTATGCAACAAGCATTGCAACATTATTGAATGCTACACTGTTGTCACATGACCTCATTATTCCGAACAAATAATGTTTCAAGAAAAGAATTGTTACAAACTGCTACTGATAATCAGTTAATTTGGAAAAGGGCGGCCTTTCTGTAGGGTTAAATAAATGATCAATTATCAATTAGTGCAATATTTATTTATTTTTATATATATTTTTTTTTAAATCATAGAAACAGAATTGGATTTTTTTCACCCTAAATTGTGCGGCCATATCTTTGTGCAAATGATGATTTTCCTTAAGGCATGCATGAAGAAGTTATATATGCTGTATATTGTGCTATATTCTGCAAATACAATATTCATAGTAGGCGATTCCAAACACAGCCAGAGACCATGATTGTGCGTGGTGATGCATTCGGATGTGATCTGAATTCACAGCACACGTGTATCTCAGCCTCGCGGTATAGATCTCAACCGAACCCTCAGAGATCTTCAGATCAGAGCCACTCCAGGCAAGACAACACAGAGTAGGTACGGCTTCATAAAGCACACCGTATACAGACAGAATAAAAGAGAATTAATCTCGACATCTGGGAGCTTCTGCTGAATTAGCAAATGTCACTAGCATCAGCCACTCCTATAGTGAAACACACGAGTCAGGACATCACGGCATAAAAACAGTAGATCTGCTGAACATATGGAAAGAGGACGAGAGCTGTCGGACAGCTTATTGTGTAGTTGACCTTGGTGTCTTCATTAAATCAACCGTTTGATTTCTATTTCAAGTAAATGCTGTACTGAACTTTCTATTCATCAAAGAATCCTGAAAAACAAAATGTATCACGGTTTCCACCAAAATCTGAAGCAGCACAACTGTTTTCAATATTGATAATAATCAGAAATGTTTCTTGAGCAGCAAATCAGTATATTAGAATGGTTTCTGAAGATCATGTGACACTGAAGACTGGAGTAATGATGCTGAAAATACAGCTTTGATCACAGGAATAAATTACATTTTACAGTATATTAACATAGAAAACAATTATTTTAAATTGTAATAATATTTCACAATTTTACTCTTTTTACTGTATTTTAAATAAAATATTTTAGTTTTTAAGCACCAATGAATGTGTAACTGCACTGATCATAAATAAATAAATAAAAATAAATAAATAAAAAAAACACACTTCCATCATACAGTATGTGAGCTCAAGTGTTTAGCACTAATTGCCGGGGTCGAGGGTTCAGTGTCTTGCTCAAGGGCACAATGCTGATAGAGCAGGAGTATGATCTCAATTACTACTACTGGAGATCACCAGTAACCTCTGTGTCAGCAGCCCAGACGCTTTAAAGGGTAGTTCACCCAGAAATGCAAATGCTGCCATCATTTACTGACCTCATGTCATACTGAGCCAGTATGATCTTCTCATTTTCTGCTTCACTGAAGACAGATATAAACATCCAAGCTACTGCTTTCAAGGAGAGTGAATGGTGATCTTTTTTAGGCAAGCACTGAAAAGGAAAAAAGAAATAAACAAATATGAAACTAAATATGCAAATAAAATAAAATAAATAACATAATAAAAGACATATAAAGAAATAAAAAGTAAAAAGGCAAACAAATAAATAAATAAATACATACATATGGAGCTCTGCATTTAAAAATCACCATCCTATTTCACTTTCATGTAAAACAGAAGCTCAACATCTGCATTTCACAGAAGTCAGTGAAGTGTCCTGTCTTCACAGAACAAATCATGCTGCATTGCCTCAAGCAGCTCTTAAAAGCACTAAATGTAGAGCTCAAATCATATGAAATCAAATTATCCTTCAGCTTTTTACATAAAAGGGTCTGATGAGCAATGAAAATGTACAGAAACTTTCACAAGTTCCCCCATCATTTATTGCAACTTAGCAGAAAATTTATTTTTTCTTTTGAAATCCTTGATTTTTGTATGTCAGAGGCCTAATTAAATTAGCATATAACCACCCAAATTGACATATTCAACACTTTTTATGAATTCAGCAACTTCATGGTGAGATAATACAGAGAATGAAGGAAATAAACTATTATTCCTTATCACTAGAAAAGTAAAATGTGAGAAAGTCCCAGTCTAAATTTTATACATACTAAATAAGTATAAATTAATGATTGAATGAATGAATGTACAAGAGACACTGTTATTTTGTGAATAAAACCACACTTGTAGGGGTTTTAAGGTTTTTACATTAAAAAATGTACACTGTTAGACATTTCTGTAATTTCTACAGTTATTTACTGTATATCCCCCAGTATAATACTGCAAATTCCATTTACAGTAAGTAACTGTAATACCCTTTACATCATGGGAATTTTCTGTGATGTCAAACTCCACATACAGTGACTTACTAAAAATTGCTGTATACTACTGTATTTTGACTCTGTGGCACCATTCCATTGAGGTTGTTTTATTTTCCTCACTTCTTACATTTGGATTGACAAGATTTGTCCTGCACCGTGTCTACAACGCCACAACAGCTTGGGACAGACTAGTTACATCGCATCATGGGAATTTTCTGTGACGTCAAACTCCATATACAGTGACTTACTGTATTTTTTTAAATTGCTGTATACTACTGTATTTGCCGTATTGGCCTCCATTCCATTGAGGTTGTTTAATTTTCCTCACTTCTTACATTTGGATTGACAAGATTTGTCCCGCACCGTGTCTACAACGCCTCAACAGCTTGGGACTGACTATACTGGACGTGTTACATCGCTTGTAATGATTGGCAAATACGTTTGCCCTTCGTGTCAGAAACAGCGCGAGTACTTGGAGTACATCTGTACGTCAGAAATATACTGGGGCATCACTTTACTGTCCGCATCCATTGTAGATAGTATCGCTGATTATAATGGGTTCTATATTGTCTTTTGTCGTGTTGCGTCGTGCCGCTCGCATCCGAGGAAGACACGGAACCCACGGGGCAGTTGCCAGTATTGCCAGTAAATTACTGTAAAAACCCTTTGAAATGTCTAACAGTGTATATATAATATAAAATGTATAACTAACACACACACACAAGTGCCATTAAAGTATTATTTTACTAAGCATAATCTCTAATTCATGCTGTTTTTCACATTATAGCTGATACTGAAATGCTCTACTGATGCAAATTGCCTTTCAGGGCTGTAACTACATGTATTAAAAAATTATTTATGCACAAAAATAAGAGAACTTCAGAGCAAGAGAGGATGTAAAGAAAAACACGTCTGATGCGACCCCTTTAAGGGTTTGTGTGTATTATGAGATGATCAGTGGGAATAACACTTATTCATGACTAAAAGCTCTTATAGATGTTATTGAAATGGCATAATTACACAGCAGTTCACAGACCCTGTAATTAAAGCTCTCGATACGAAGGTTTTCTGGAGCTCGACACCTCTCAGGAAGCACAAATACATCCTCGAGTGTTGTCAATTGATTGCGTTGTTGTAGTTTAATATCCCACAGTTTAATCGAAATATGTCTTTACGTGTTTGTGTGGGCACGTGTGTGGGCCACAAACCTCATCAGCACGCT